TCCCTTCCCGGCACCCCACCGGACCCTGTTCCCTTCCCGGCACCCCACCGGACCCTGTTTTGTAACCGGACAGTATAAATATCTCAGATGAAACCCTCGGTGGGACGGCCCCTGGGATGCACGCCTGGGGTCCGTCGCCGGCCGGCTCAAATAAACGCGCTCTCAATTAAAGTCAATTGGGTGTGATGCTCTGATTTCTCTCGGGCGTCCAGTTCAATAACAACCATTTTTTTTCAGAACAGTAAACTTAAAATCCAATCAGATCCGAATTTATAATCACTAATGATAAATATTTAAAAACATTTTTGTTTTAAATCCAATACTCTTGGCCCTTTAAAAGGAAATATTCTCCACAAATTTATATAATCCCTTAAAAAGACATGTGGTGACAATTCCTGCTCTAAATTCTCCTTTTCTTTCCTACTTCCTTAAGGGAACTAAGAAAAAATCCCCTCTGCTTCTTAGAGGCTTATCAGATGGAGCCACCCTCCGAATCTGGTCTTGTTCTTCCCCTTTGAATAATATATCTAATATCACTACTATTTCTCCCCACGATCAGTAAGGTCCTCCCAGGGAGGAGCTAATCTTGGTATCTTTGACTGCTGACCCCATATCCCAAGGAGGACTGTTTTGAATGAGCAAAACTAATCTGGATAAGGCTTTTACCCAATCCCCTCCTTTTTACACACAGTAATCAATTAACAATTCTAGGTTTTAACATTAAAACAGTATCTTCAAATAATCTCAGTTAGCAATCTTATAACTTTCATAAGTGATAGTCAAATTGTTTCAGCTATAACCCCTTCTTTAATTACAGGTAAAGGTGGAAATACCTGGTTCTCTAAATGGCAGTTATAAAACATTATAAGACAGGGTTAGCAAGGCTGACAAAGTAATATAATTGGTCTTGCACAGTTTTTCCACTGTCCTTTAGGTTCTTTAAGTTCATACTTTAATAACATCCAAATTATGAAAAGCTACTTGACATAAAGATACAAAAGTTTGCCAATTTGAAACAATACTAAATATTTAAAACTTGAAACAAACACATTACCAATCAGGTGACTCCAATTCTGTTGAATGCATTTCCAAATTTCCTCACATAGAAAATTGGGCATCTCTTCACCATTGGCATTGTATACTGGTCATATCTAATCAAAGAATGAATAATAATAGTTTGACTGGATTACAGAGTGTGGGAAGGGAAGTAACATACAATAGCACTGAACAATTAGATTGGGACTGGGTTGTGAATGTTTTGAAAGCCAAGCTGAGGAGTTTATATTTTATATTTTATTCTACAAGTAAGTTTTCTATAGGTAAGGGAGTGACAGATTGCAACTTGAACTTAAGGAAAAAAATCACTTTGACAGCTGTGTGTGGGATGGGCTGGAGTGAGGAGAGACTTGAAGTAAGGAAGCCATTGTAATAGTCCAGGCTACAGGTAATGAGGACCCGAACTAGGATGTTGGCTGTGTGAATAGAGAGAAAGGAGAAGATGAGAGATGTGTTGTAGATGTAGAATGACAAGATTTAGCAATTAATTAGATATGTGAGGTGAGGGCAAGTGATGAGTTGAGGTTATGAAATTCAAAGAGTGGAAGAAATGTGGTACTTTTGAGATAGAAAATGAGAAGTTTGGAAGAGGACTAGGTTTTTTTTTTGGGGAAAGATGAGCTCTGTTTTGAGCCTGTTGAACTTTAGATGTCCCTGAGACATTCAGTAAGAAAAATCCAATAGGTAGTTGATGATCTGTGAGGGAGTTAGACTGGTCACTTACAGCCTTAAAATTCTGTGCTTTACTTATCTTCCTCTACTTATTTTATGAGTTCACTTTTCATAATCTTTTAAGGACAAAGGTCTGACTATGTTATTTCCTGATCAAAAATCTTCAGGGGCTTCATCTTGCTTCTAGGATCAAATTCAAATTTCTCATTCAACATTCTGCCTCTAACTTTCCTGTTTTAGACTTATTCCTTACTACTACTCTTCAGTAACTCTGCTTTCCAGCTAAATTGAGAATTAACTAACTAAAGTAACTACCTGAGGCATTTGGCTTTCCATCTCCCATCTTTACATAAGTTGATCTCTGTATCTCTGCCTCATGAGATCTTTAGTTTTCATCAAATATAAGCTCAATTGCCATTTCCTTCATAATCCTTTCCCCACCCCAATTGCCAGTGGTTACTTCCTTTTCAAATTACCTTCTATTAACTTAACTGTACACATGTCCTAATGCCCTAGTAGATTGTAAACTTTTCTATAGATATTACTTCATTTTTGTCTTTTTCTCCAGTTCTTAGCCTAGCTTCCATGTAGTAAGTCCTAATAAATTCTTATTGATGAATAAATATGTATTAAATTGAATTGAAGGGAAATGCAAGTAAAATACCAGGCTATGTTTTAGAGTGTTGTTATTTTCTTCTAGTAGCAGGGGTAGGTGAAAATTCATGCAGGAACTTTCATTTGATTAGGGAGATATTGTGGCTAGATCAAGAAGTAGAGAACAGAGTGTGCCATGTTATGAGTATTGCATAGTACAGAATATATTTAGGGAGGGTGAGAGGCTCAGTATTGTAGAAGGGTATGGTGTCAAGAGGGAACTAGTATAAAATAAGGCAGGAAATGTAGAGTAGCTCCAGATTGTGGATAATTTTGAATTCCAGACTAAGGATCCTAAACTTGATTGGGTTTAGAGTAGAGCTGTTGAACTCTTTTGAGCAGTTGATTGACATGATCTCATCCATAGGTCAAGAAGCTTAAGCTGGAAGAGATGTGATGGAGGTTTTGGAGAGGGGAGAAAGTAGAGGAAAAAAGACAGAGGCAATCAGATGTTACTGCAACAGTTTATATAGGTGAAAATGAAGGCTTACAACAGGGGAATAATGATGATGGAGAAACAGAGGAGGGGATGGATTTAAGAGATATTTTGGAAACAAATGTATAGGATCCTTTGACTAGAATATGATTTAAGAGAAATAAAAATCAAAACAATACCATTGTTTGGAACACATATATATGGCTAAATGATGCAAGGAGCAGAACTTGACATTGATGCAGGACTTCTTCCTTTCTTTGTATCCCCAGGGTTTAGCACAGAGCCTGGCATGCATATGATAGGTGCTTAATAAATGTTTGTTGGCTGAGTCCAACGCTCCTTTGCTAAGACAGGGAGAAAGACAGTGTGAATCAGAGATGCTGAATGTTCTTGATAAGATAGGAGGAGTCCATGGTACAAAAAGAAACAAGGGTATTAAATCTGCCATGGAAGTATTCATCAACAAAAATCACCAATTGCAGGGGCAGCTAGGTGGCACAGTGGATAGAGCACTAGCCCTAAAGTCAGGAGGACCTGAATTCAAATCTGGCCTCAGATCAAACACTTGACACTTACTAGCTGTGTGACCCTGGGCAAGTCATTTAACCCCAACTGCCTAAGGAAAAAAAAAATCACCAATTGCAGGGTGAAATAAATGAATTCACTAATTCTTTTCAGATTCTGCTCTGTTATCTTGCCCTGCCTCTCCCTCTGCCCCACCCCCCCAACCATTTACTATGCAGTTATCCTGCTTTTGCTTTCAGAAAAGCCTTTCCAGGAACGAGTCAGAGAAGTACCATAGGAAGTCATGGTGTTAACTTGGAGCAGTGCTCTATGTCAGTGACTTTCCAGTTAAATTTCAATGATACCAATTGGCTAATTATACTTTGCAAAATAGTAGACCCTTGACAACTGTCTGTTGAATTGACTGATTCTGGGATATTATTTACATATCTAGTAATTTGGATTCTTTCTTCATTCTTTTCTTAAGGTAATTTCAGAGGTGGCCTTGCTGACTCAGTCAATGGACAGAGTGAATCACACTGCAGTGTCTGAGTTTGTATTCCTGGGACTTTCCAATTCTTGGGATATTCAGCTTCTACTCTTTGCATTTTCTTCTGTGTTCTATTTGGCAAGCATGCTGGGAAACTCTCTCATTATGTTCACAGTGACTTCTGACCCTCACTTACACTCTCCCATGTACTTCCTGCTGGCCAACCTCTCCTTCATTGACTTGGGAGTTTCCTCAGTCACTTCCCCCAAGATGATATATGACCTTTTCAAAAAGCACAAAGTTATTTCATTCTCTGGCTGTATCACTCAGATGTTCTTTATTCACTTGATTGGTGGTGTTGAGGCAGTGTTGCTTATAGCCATGGCCTTTGACAGATATGTAGCTATATGCAAACCTCTCCATTATCTGACTATTATGAGTCCAAGAATGTGCACAGTGTTCCTGGTGGCTGCTTGGACCATTGGTTTCACCCACTCAACTATCCAATTGGCTTTTGTTGTTAATCTCCCATTTTGTGGCCCTAATAAATTGGACACCTTTTATTGTGACCTTCCTCGGTTCATCAAACTTGCCTGCACGGACACATATAGACTGGAATTCATGGTTATTGCCAACAGTGGCTTCATGTCCTTGGGCTCTTTCTGCATCTTGGTTATCTCATACATTTTCATCCTGGTAACTGTTCAGAAGCTTTCTTCAGGTGGTTCTTCCAAGGCTCTCTCCACTCTGTCAGCTCATATCACTGTTGTGATTTTGTTTTTTGGTCCATTGATTTTTGTTTATACATGGCCACACCCCACATCACACTTGGATAAGTTTCTTGCCATTTTTGATGCAGTTTTTACTCCTTTTCTGAATCCAGTCATCTACACATTCAGGAACAAAGAGATGAAGGTGGCGATGAGGAGATTGTGCAGTCAGATTGGGAATTTTAGGAAAATCTCTTAAATGACTTTATAACATGACCTTTTCTCATTAGAAGAAACAAGAAAGACTTATGGAAGAACTTATTTGCAGAAGGAAATCATGAACTAGTTTTTGGACAGGTGGAGTTTGAGGTTCTGGAGAGAC